CCCATGACTTTCTGGATACAGGTAAATCATATATTTTACATAATGACCAATGGATTAATTTAGCAACTCAGTCATGTCTACCTTTGTAATCAGTTGTGCAATTTTGCTGCATTCACCTATTAAATGTGAAACAGTTTCGACTTTGTTATTGCAAAGTCGGCAGTTTGGGTTGTCATTGGATTTTTGTATCTTCGCTTTCAGCAGTTCAGCGGTTCAAATTCCTAGCACCGCAAAACAGAGTGAGCTCCCATTATTTGTCCCAGCTTCTGCCAACCTAGCAGTTCGAAAGCACGTAAACATGCAAGTAGAAAAATAGGAACCCTTTGGTGGGAAGCATTGGTGGGTTTATACCACGCGCTCATGTGCACTGCTTCTACGCATGTGCAGAAGCATCTGGGCAGGTGAGTGGAGCCTCCCTCTGCTGCCACTACTGGTTCAGCCGGGAGCAACTCACCTCTGGTGGGAAGGTAACAGCATTCCGTGTGCCTTCGGCATTTAGTCATGCCAGCCACATGACTGCGGAGGCATCTTTGGACAAAGCTATATCTTTGACTTTGAAATGGAAATTAGCACTGCCTCCTAAAGTCGGGAACGACTAGCACATATGTGTGAGGGGAACCTTTACCTTTACCTATTATAATTATTATTCCCAGGAAAAGTGATGGAAAATTCAAACCTTTTCTTCTTCTTCTTTTTTTTTTAAAGAACATGCATTCTGTTTTGTTCCATTTCAGCCTCTCCCTCCTTTTTATTTGCCTTCCATCTGTATTAATATTTGTAAGCAGCTCCAAGCATGATTTTGTTGTTGTTGTTGTTGTAAAATAACATTTTGAATTCACTTTTCCTAATGTCAAGCTTTCGGAAAGCCATTTTTCAATATTATAACGTAGTCTCGATCATCCATTTCTACAGTGTACATATTTTGTATGGATTTCTTGAGGCAAAATACTGAAATGCATCTTCTCTTGCTTTCCTCTGCACTCCTTGTTCCTTAATACACAAATGAGGTCTGAAGCCGGGGTACTCAAATAGAAATTCTGATGTAGCTAATTTCTCATCTGTGACTGCAGTAAAAAGTAAATAAATAAATAAAACTGGCTACAATGTTACTGCATTCTGTTGTTTTATTTTGCATAAATCCATACAGATTTTCCTTGAGTGCACATATTATAAAAGAATGTAATAAATCCCCAATTCTCTTCCTTGCTGTCTTTTAGTAAATTTTAGTAAACAGTAGCAGATCAGACATTTTGTATTCTAGAGGAGAAAAACCCTTAATTTTGGAGTGTCGGAGAAAGGAAATATGCTGATTTGACGTCCTTTTCACATAAAAACACAATGGACAATGCAAGCCAGTATGGTCCTAATGTAATATTATTTTAATTAATCTTTATTTTATATTATTCTGCAAATATGATCTACCCTTTGAGGAATGGGGATTTCTGAGTTCTTTTGTGCCACTCAAACAATTGCAAGTTATTGTTATTTTAAAAAACCACTGAGAGGAAGGGACGGAGGGAGGAAGAAAGGGAGGGAGGGTAGAAAGTTAGCACCCACCCCTCTCCTAGAAAAATGAAATATTCTGGGAAATATTAAAGAGGCAGAATATTATATTTTCCCTAAAGAGAAACGTGTGCCTAAAGACATACATTCAGAGCCAGAGCTCCCTGCCCACTTCCCCCAACAGATATTTTGGTGCTAATCTATCTACAAGACAAAGGCTGGGCCAGCTTATCTACAAAACAAAAGACATGGCCCTCCGGTCATGATAGGATTAACCTTCACTCAAGATCCAAAACAGGACAAAGTCATTAAGCCATAATAGGAATTGCCCAAAGTCCCTGCATTACATCATTACCCAGAAAGATTCAACAAGGTGTGGGACTCAAGACAACCTACAGAGTTACCTCTACATGACCCCGTGGGAGTCTGACAACCAATCAGAGTACATTTCTTACACAGGAACATGAAGATCCAAGGTGGGGCCCAAGAGAGGGTATAAATCTCTCTCCCTCTCTCATCCATGTGTTCATTTTTCCCAGGACTGAAAAAGCCCATGTTGTCCTCTCCCCTATTAAAGCCATCCTTCCAAGCAGTCTACATGTTTCCAGGGTCTTTCTCCCCACTTAGAACTGAGCCCACATGGACATTTCTTCCAACAGAAAGAAGGAAGGAAGGAAGCACCAATACACTGCCTGAAAGCCCATTTTCAATAGGTAAAACTGTGGGATCAATGCAGTGGTGTATTCTGGACCCCGTGCAACTGGCCTGGCATCCACCAATGACTGCGCGCAGCACACACATGCATCCTTACTTCTTGAAATACCTCCGCAAGCCTCCGCAAGCCTCCAGCTGCTCGGTGGAGCATCGTACTGGTGCTGTGCGCTCCATGCGGTGCGTGGAAACGCCAAAAATCTCAAATATAGGTAAGGAGCTTGGGCGGGCAGGCGGGCTCTCCGGAGCACTGTACATGGTACCCAGTGCTCCGGGCAGGCACCGGTACACCCGAACCAGGGCGTACCACCTGCAACCCACCACTGGATCAATGGCAATCTTCATCCAGAATAATATTTCCTCCCACAAAGTCTGCAGGTGAAGTGAAAACGTGTAATTTTCTTCTTCCACCCCCATCCCCATGGCTTATTAGGTGCATTCTTGCAAAACATTGCAAAGCATTGCAAAACATCTTTATGTGGAAGCTTTTAATTCTGAATGGCACTTTTAATCTATTCTCTTTCACTTGCAATCAGCTGAGCGATTTCAAAGAAACCTCAAGTTGGAAGTCAAATCCCCAGACTTTCAGCATAGCAAACAAAACAAACCAGAATTCATCAGAATATGAAGGGAAAAAAATCACATTTGGTTTGCCTGAATGACAATGCAGTAAGACCACACCCAGAACACTGCATCCAGTTTTGATCATCACATTATGAAAAAGATGTTGAGACTAAACAAAGAGGTTTAGGGACCTGGAGATGAAAACATATGATGAACCGTTGCAGGAACTGGGTACGGCTAGTCTAGTGAAAAGAAGGACCAAGGAAGACATAGCAGTATCCCAATATTTGAACACAAAGAAGGGGGTCAATTTATTTTCCAAAGCACCTGAAGGCAAGACAAGAAATGAGATATGGAAACTAATCAAAGGGAGATCCAACCTAGAACTTAGAACAAATTTCCTGACAGTGAGAACAATGAACCAGTGGAAAAGCTTGCCTTCAGAAATTGTGGGTGCTCCATCACTGGAGACTTTTAAAGAGAGACTGACTAGCCACTTGTCTGAAATGGTATAGAGAAGTGGTGTCAAACTCAAGGCCCTGAGGCCAGATCCGGCCCATGGGGTGCTTAGATCTGACCAGTGGTGGGTTTCA